TAACTCAAATCCACAGCATACACCAGAAAGCCCCGATCAAAATTCCAATTTAAGCCTATTATCCACAGCATGTTCAACTCTGCAATTGACCTGCACTGTTCCATCTCACCATCTAAGCCAATGTAGCATGAGACAACACCGCAGTCCCTTCTTTATGACAAAGTAAGTCCAACTTTATTATGTCATTAGGCGCAGCGAGGAGAACACACAAAGGCTTATGTGCTTTGAGCCGGGCTCTTATTCATAGCATCCCTTGACAACCTTTCTCCAGAAGCTACTAGTCCCTGAGGCAATCTCTAAAGAGAACCGGCCAGAATATCACAAACCTGGTGTAGACACGGTGCCTAGCGCGTGGTGTACTCTGGCAAAGCCTGCTTTGTCTTTTGGGAAGAGAGGCTGCAAAGTCTTGGCCAAATGTACGCATATGGAGATGACTTCAGCCCAATGCTGCTCCTGGGGTAGTGGATCCACTGGCTGTATTAAGCGCCAAAGTTGAGCTTATTGGCATGCATGCAGTTGGGTCTTTCCAATGCAAGCGATATGAAGTCACCAGCTGTAACAGACTTACCCGCCCGTCACTCCGGGATCGAGGCACGGTCCTGCTGCATCATCACGGACCTCATCAGGCCCCTCCTCCTATGTCGGCTTAAGCCACAAGGTTCAATTGCCCGGCGTTCGAGCAAGGGAGCAGACACTGGGCAATACCCCTCCTATCCCTCACCTTGAAACTCTCTACTGTCTCCATCTGGCAGCTCACCTTCTAAGGCAGGGGTGCCCATTAGGTAGATCGTGATCTACCTCTCAAAGCTGATGATGGTTGATCAGGAAGGGTGTGAATGGCGGCCCCTTTATTCCATTTTGGTATATTTATTTAGCTGTGCACACATGATTACCTATTAGCCTGAGTCTGCTGAGCCATGCTTCCCACACCTTTCTGGTGGATTCTGGTGGTTGAAGTGCTATGTGTTACATCAAAGAATGTTAGTTTACACAGCCTGTTGCACTGCAGTGTTTGCAAAATACAGCAAGGTGAGCCAGGAGAGAGAGCGGGGAGAGAGACAGCCAGGAAAGAGAGAGAGGAGAGACAGCCAGGGGAGAGAGCAAGGGGAGACAGCCAAGAGAGCGAAGAGAGACAGCCAAGAGAGCGAAGAGAGACAGCCTGGAGAGAAAACGAGGAATGACAGCCAGGAGAGAGAACGAGGAGAGACAGCCAGGAGAGAGAGCATGGAGAAAGAGCAAGGAGAAAGAGCAAGGAGAGAGAGCAAGGAGAGACAGCCAGGAGAGAGAGCAAGGAGAGACAGCCAGGAGAGAGAGCAAGGAGAGACAGCCAGGAGAGAGAGCAAGGAGAGACAGCCAGGAGAGAGAGCATAGAATGTTCTCCATTTGCATAAAGTAAAAAATGGATTCATAAGTATCAGTGTTTTAAAGTTCTGTATTAAAGGGGATTTCCACTGAATCTACAAACCGAGGGTCCATTTATATCTGTGGGTTGCGTTAAAGAGGAACTCCAGGAATGTGAAAAGTTAACCCCTGTAGTGGGGCTACCCCGGCCACTGCAAGGGTTAACTGCTCGTTTTGGTCTAGGGGCTCAAATAAAAAATATGGTCACTTGATCCTCGATCTGCTGGCTGCTACACGCAGCGTCCCCGCAGCGTCCCTGCAGCGTCCCCGCAGCCTCCTTTTCCCAGTCTAAGGACCTGTGATGTCATCATGTCTAATGCAAGGTCCCCCGACTTGCATTAGATACAAGGATGCCGAGGGACAGCGGGAGTAGAGGGAAAGAGGTTTATGCTTTCAGTTCATTTCACAGGAAGTGACAAGGGAACGGCATTTCTGGCAGTATCAACAGGTAACTTCTGTACTTTCCAAAAACACTATCAGCTTGGAAAATAAAACCAACGCAGTCACCACATCTCAGGACTGGTAAGCTGCAATATGTTAAAGCAGAACACCAGACAAAAATAGTAAGATAATAATAAAGAACCCAATAAAAGCCCCGCTGTACAGGGATGACAAGAGCTTACACCAGATCAAATTCAGGCCCTTACACTGCTTGTATTTAAAATATACATTTATTATGTACTAATGATTACAGCAATGCATTAAAGTAACTGTAAACCGAGCATGTTAGCTATATCTATCATGGAAATGGTTAAGAACACCATTTATTAAACATTTTAAGAATATTTTTGGCTTTATTTTGCTAGTGGTCAACTGACCGCTGTGTCCTCTCTTCTACCTTAGCTCCCAAATCAATGCTCGTCATTTTGCTCCAACTCCACGCATCTCAAGAGCTCGTTAGTCCCATGGACACTGGCAGAAGCTTCCTCATATTGGGCGCTGGGACCTGAGAACTGCATCCTGGGAGGAAGTCATCATAGAATTGATAATAAAGAATTATATCTGACCACACAGATTTCAGCTGCTGCTTAACGTGATTGGAGTAGTGGCGCGAGGTTTTACATTACCTCCAGCAAGAGGTACTGTCACTTAAAGTTGCATGGACACAGTGAAGAGTCTCTCGATATACTAAAGTACAGGTGCACTTCAGGCTGAAAAAGCAAAAAATAACTGCCATTCGTCCATCACAGGGCATAAGAGGGCTTAACTCAAATCCACAGCATACACCAGAAAGCCCCGATCAAAATTCCAATTTAAGCCTATTATCCACAGCATGTTCAACTCTGCAATTGACCTGCACTGTTCCATCTCACCATCTAAGCCAATGTAGCATGAGACAACACCGCAGTCCCTTCTTTATGACAAAGTAAGTCCAACTTTATTATGTCATTAGGCGCAGCGAGGAGAACACACAAAGGCTTATGTGCTTTGAGCCGGGCTCTTATTCATAGCATCCCTTGACAACCTTTCTCCAGAAGCTACTAGTCCCTGAGGCAATCTCTAAAGAGAACCGGCCAGAATATCACAAACCTGGTGTAGACACGGTGCCTAGCGCGTGGTGTACTCTGGCAAAGCCTGCTTTGTCTTTTGGGAAGAGAGGCTGCAAAGTCTTGGCCAAATGTACGCATATGGAGATGACTTCAGCCCAATGCTGCTCCTGGGGTAGTGGATCCACTGGCTGTATTAAGCGCCAAAGTTGAGCTTATTGGCATGCATGCAGTTGGGTCTTTCCAATGCAAGCGATATGAAGTCACCAGCTGTAACAGACTTACCCGCCCGTCACTCCGGGATCGAGGCACGGTCCTGCTGCATCATCACGGACCTCATCAGGCCCCTCCTCCTATGTCGGCTTAAGCCACAAGGTTCAATTGCCCGGCGTTCGAGCAAGGGAGCAGACACTGGGCAATACCCCTCCTATCCCTCACCTTGAAACTCTCTACTGTCTCCATCTGGCAGCTCACCTTCTAAGGCAGGGGTGCCCATTAGGTAGATCGTGATCTACCTCTCAAAGCTGATGATGGTTGATCAGGAAGGGTGTGAATGGCGGCCCCTTTATTCCATTTTGGTATATTTATTTAGCTGTGCACACATGATTACCTATTAGCCTGAGTCTGCTGAGCCATGCTTCCCACACCTTTCTGGTGGATTCTGGTGGTTGAAGTGCTATGTGTTACATCAAAGAATGTTAGTTTACACAGCCTGTTGCACTGCAGTGTTTGCAAAATACAGCAAGGTGAGCCAGGAGAGAGAGCGGGGAGAGAGACAGCCAGGAAAGAGAGAGAGGAGAGACAGCCAGGGGAGAGAGCAAGGGGAGACAGCCAAGAGAGCGAAGAGAGACAGCCAAGAGAGCGAAGAGAGACAGCCTGGAGAGAAAACGAGGAATGACAGCCAGGAGAGAGAACGAGGAGAGACAGCCAGGAGAGAGAGCATGGAGAAAGAGCAAGGAGAAAGAGCAAGGAGAGAGAGCAAGGAGAGACAGCCAGGAGAGAGAGCAAGGAGAGACAGCCAGGAGAGAGAGCAAGGAGAGACAGCCAGGAGAGAGAGCAAGGAGAGACAGCCAGGAGAGAGAGCAAGGAGAGACAGCCAGGAGAGAGAGCAAGGAGAGACAGCCAGGAGAGAGAGCAAGGAGAGACAGCCAGGAGAGAGAGCAAGGAGAGACAGCCAGGAGAGAGAGCAAGGAGAGACAGCCAGGAGAGAGAGCAAGGAGAGACAGCCAGGAGAGAGAGCAAGGAGAGACAGCCAGGAGAGAGAGCAAGGAGAGACAGCCAGGAGAGAGAGCAAGGAGAGACAGCCAGGAGAGAGAGCAAGGAGAGACAGCCAGGAGAGAGAGCAAGGAGAGACAGCCAGGAGAGAGAGCAAGGAGAGACAGCCAGGAGAGAGAGCAAGGAGAGACAGCCAGGAGAGAGAGCAAGGAGAGACAGCCAGGAGAGAGAGCAAGGAGAGACAGCCAGGAGAGAGAGCAAGGAGAGACAGCCAGGAGAGAGAGCGAGGAGAGACAGACAGGAGAGAGAGCAAGGAGAGAAAGCGAAATAAATGTTATGACATCGCATACGTTTAGCGAAATGTTGCCATGGAGAATGTGTGCTGTAATCAAAGCTAAAGGCGTCCAACAAAATATTAGTGTGGCTTTTTTTTGGCCGGGCAGTGTACAGTGTATAATATTACCACCCAGTTAACATCCGCTTTCATAGTTGGCTTTCTCCAGCCCTTCTCCCAGGCAGAAGATGGAGTAGGCTTTACCAGAGTACACAGGCCACTAGACTTTTCCTATTTAATCTAGGTCCACATTTGTCATGCAAAAGTTTTCATTGAAAAGTTTAGATCTTGTGAGATAGATTTTGATTAGTGCTGCGTAAAATGTCATCTTCTTCAACCCTCATAAGTCTTTCAGAATATCAAACAGTAAATAAAACTGAGGGGAAAGGATAAAAAGGGTTAATGTTGAATCTGTTCAGCTGGTAAAATAAGGGCATTAAAGTTACAACTGGCACCCTCTGATCTCATAGGCCCTGGCGCAGCTGGACGCTCTACGATGCCCCTGAAGTCGTGCCCTAACGAGGACAATTTTACACATAAAACCGCGGGTAGTCTGGTCTTACCGTACATAGAGCGATCGCTTCTGGTTTGTTCTGAGGGAGCCAGAGCCGGAACTCATGCTGTGATTCATCATCTGTTCACGCAGGTCATGGATTTTTGCCTCAAATCGAGCGTACTCTGACAAGAGAAGGAGAGCAGAAAGGTGTTAAAAAAATGTCAATGTCAAATATGACAACAAATGGAAAGATCATGAAGTTTTGCTAAATGTCCTGATCCAAATCGAAAGATATATCACCTGTTTAAACAGACAAACTAAACTATATTTAGAATGTAAATGTTTTTTATACACAATTTTTAATTACATACAACAAACTAATTAAAAAACCATGGACATAAACCCCATAAAACATATTGTCACCTTGGTGGTACATATAGAGATGTCCCTAGCCTTTTCGCCACCTGAGGGCGGGAGTGGGAGTTGGTGGGGGGTGCTAGCGGTGCACGTTTGGAGAGCAGGGGGAGGAATGTGCCTCTCACTATCCAGCTCTGACTCTGGCTGGCGTCCCTCCCAGCTCACTTGTTAAAGATGTCACCGGAGCACACCATATTGAAGTGAAATGATTTCAAGCCAGATGAAGGGGACCTTATGTGGCACCGAAACGCTGTTATTTGTTTTGACATGAAGCGTCAATAAACCTACGTGTTCTTCACTTCAATATGGTATGCTGGTGACATCCTTAACAAGTTTCAGTATTGGCTGCGCCATCCGTAATCACTTCGAGCACCCACGCTGACAGGGATACCCAGTGAGGAGTGCAGCAGGATTCTGGAATACCACCCAGCTCACTGACTTCGCTGGCTGCCAGTAGATGGTCGGAATGCCGGCAAGAGCATGCCGCTAAGCTCCTGGCAACCAGAGACATCACTGGTTGCTAGGAGCTGAGCAGGACGCTAGCCAGGTCATCCCAGGTTGCTAAGAGCTGGGTGGGGAGATGTGTATGACCCTTACACAGCTCCCCGCCTGGCTCTTAGCAACCTGGGATGCTCTGACTACAAAGGAGGCGGCATACACACGGTCAACATTGTGCAACGCAGTGCCCATGCTGCTCTGCCTGCCGCCCCCCACTGCAACCCAAAGAGATGCCACCTGAGGCAACATCCTCATGCTGGCTCATTAAAGGGAGGGCCTTGGGTAAATATATTATAAAATAAACCATATACTGTATATATAGTTTCTGGATCCAAGGTGTAATGATGTCTACTTGGAATAAATGTCTATGGTAATGTAGTACACATCCGAGGGCAAAGCGCAAGCTGTTTGCAATACACAACCTTGAGTCATTCACTTCAAAATGTTATCAACTCCATTGGTCCACCATGAGGAGGAATTATATATTTCACAGACATATACAGTATCATATACACTGTCTGCCAATGATGCTCCAAGAACGCTGTTTTGATGTATGTTCTCCAAGAAACAGGGTCACTGTCACCTTTCAAAGTGCCTCCCAAATCACAACATCCACGGCCCAAGTATTCTGGATCCAAAATGACAATTAAGACACGTTGCCATAAATGTTACGCATGGCAGCCGTATTTTAAAAACTACCTGCCAATGTGGCAGCACAGTGGCTTTGTGGTTATCACTTCTGCATTGCAGCACGGGGGGTTTCCTGGTTCGTATCCCAGTCAGGATACTATCTGCATGGAGTTTGCATGTTGTCCTTGTGTTTGCTTGGGTTTTCTCTCACACTCCAAAGACATGCTGGTAGGTTAATTTTCTAAAATCGGTCCTGTATGTATGCATGTGAGATAGGGACGTTAGCTTGCAAGCTCCTTGAAGGCAGGGACTGATGTGAATGTGCAACTATGTAAAGTGCTGCATAAATTGATCCTATTAGGACACTTTAGACTCGTGCAGCCTGTGGCTTGCTAGATGTGAGATGGTACTTGCCCCAATGCACTCTTCCCAACATGACTCAGGTAGCTCAGAGGTCCCTTTTACATTACCCGCTTCCCTCCAAAACCCCCCTTACCCTGTTACCAATAACTACGCCACACAACAACGGGAGTTTAAATGGCCACAGCAGCCTTTTATTATAAACACTTATAAATAACATTATAAATAACCATATTAACAATATTAACAACTAAACGCCTGTACCAACTAGTTTGGTTTCAAGGTCATTGAAGGCAATTGTACTCTATAAATGGACGAGTATCTGCGGGCACCTTTTCTGTAACTCAATGCCCCCAGCCACCATACACCGCCTCGGGGACGTAACTAGATTGCCCGCAGACCCACGTTGGTCCCCTATTTACCGGTCATACCAATCTGACCGTCCGACTACTGGAGGACACCCATACCACGCATGGGTCCCCCGTCCAGATATGTACCCACTAACAACTGCCTCCAAGGATCCAAACCACCATCCCCAGCTGTGACAAATATCCAGAAACACAGACCACCTCCTATGGGGCGAGTGGGTGGGAAGTTCTTCCTATCTTGCAGGACTCCCAACTGACCTTCTAGACACCTCCTTCCTGGCTAACTTTCCTGAAGCCCCTCCTGGACCACCCCTTCCATCAATCAAGTAAGTGACCTTTCTATACCCTTTCTTCTATCACTCCTTAACCCTTTCCTGTCCTAGTTCCCCTTCACAGCCTTGTCATGCAGGCCTTCCACTCATTCCTCTGCTTTCCATAGCTCCAGGCCTTACTGTCCAGGATTGTGGGACTGAAAAGGGGCAGATTTGTCAATAGCAGAAAACAAATGCAATGAGAAAGACTATGGCAGCAAAAAAAAAAACCTGGCGTCATCTCTTAACCTACTTGCACCGTATGGCACACCTTATGATGTCATCACTGAGTCTCTCCGCTGGCCTTTGCTCCATATGAGTTTGGAGGGGCAAGCAGGGTCCTATAGCCATAACAGCACCCTGCCTTGAGCATTATATGAAAGAACACCCCCCCGTTTCCCTTTAGATGCGCATTCCTTTTCCTACAGTCGCAGAGGCAGGAAGTGAGAAAAAAATCTCCCCTGATACTTATAATAGCCAGAAAAAAAAGTTTCACATAGCATTCATTAGTGGGAAATCCTAAGTGCAGATGTTGGTGAATGTTTTGGAATATTTGGCAGGCCTTGCACTTGCCTCTCACTTTATGTGAAGAACCAGGAACGTTATAGGCAGAACATGTACTTTTTTATGGCATGACCCTCGGAATCTGCCTCTGGAATTGTGATATTAGTATTCAATGGAACGTGCAAATGAAAGAACCAGCCGGCATGTTCATGACACATTCAGAGCTGCAGTTAGTGATTCGTGCTCTTCACCTATTGCTGGACATGAAGACATGACAGCAGCTATACAAAGCTTGAATCTCTGTATTTTCTATACGCTGCTGGAATGTTCCTGCTGATGAAAAAGTATACCTTATGTTATACTGTGGCCTTATGCCATAGTGTAGCTGGTGTCCTGAGCACAAATGCCACCCAAAGTTTCATTAAACTAGTACCAAACCCATTCTGGAGGACATTTAGGGTCTGATTTATTATGCGTTTGCCCAGCGAACAGCTGTGCGAATGACCTTCGCATGGCATTACTGCCACTGGATGCAGCTGAGGACATTCCTATGCTCCTCAGCTACAGCTTGTGGCTGTAATGCACTGTGAAAGTCATTCTCTCAGCTGCAAAAATATAAAGCAGCCCCCTAGTTTACTAAAACACTGTGTATCAAACAACTGCCCAGTGGTATCCGTGTGGTCGCAAGTTAAAAACTGAGCATGACCGCACAAGACTTAAGGACACCTGCAAGCTTTTCCCCTGCCAGAGTGTAGTGTGTTGCAGAAGGCGGAGTGATCTCCTGTGCCTGAGCTTGGCTCTGATGTCAGAGCCAGAAGGCAGAGGAGTTGAAGCCTTGGCCAGGAGCAGCAGCGGTAGTGTTCTGTCCTGGTTGTCGCCCAGGTTGGACTCCAATCATGTCTTCCTCTCTTCATCTCCATAACACAGGGGATAGCCTGCAGGTGGTCAGGTATGGACCCAGTCAGACTCTGAATCTGTTCCTGGGGTTGAGAACCAGGGAGGAACTTCATTTGCTGGAGATGCCTGAGAAGCCAGAATGGCCTTGGACCTCAGAGAGAAGTCTGGTGTCTCACCTAGGGCAGTCATCAATAATCAGTAATCAGCATTGCTCCTGGTCCCATAGAACGTGGAAGAGATCGATAAACGGACGTTCGCCGCTCTCCCAACCAGCATCCCGTCGGCACCTGACATGCCGGTCCTGGGCCCGCAGGAGGGGCAGCGGAGCCCGGGATAAACGGTGAAGGTGTCTGCCACTTTACCGGCCTGTAGAAGCGATCTGTTGGCAGCTGAGTCTCCATAATTGCTTCCACTGTAAAGCCAAGCGCCGGTTCTACAAATATGAACTGAGTCCCGGTGGCTTTTGTCTGTTTAACCCCTTAAGGACCCATGACGGACATATCCCGTCATGGGTCGTCAAGAGGTTAAATAGAACCAGTAAAAAGTCACTCGCACTCCAAAGCGATGCCAAGTCAATCTCTTTATTGACTATGGTAGTGTAACATCTCAAAGCAATGTTTCGGAACCAAGTGGTCCCTTCTTCAGGCACACATAAAACAGAGAATCCCAAGAGGTTAAAGGCCCTCTGCATTGTGACGTTGGGAAGTGGTCAGTGAGTCTGGAGTTCTGTACTGCCCTAGATAAACTGTAGCCCTTTACCCTCTCTCCCTTTTTTGTCGCTTATGGAATAAATGATTAGAAAATCCTTAAAGTGATTGGCTCCCAATGTTACTTTCACATCCCACAAACCAGGCTAAGGACTCATCCTTGGGGTGCAATGTCAGCCCACCATGCCTCAGAAGTCCCCCATATGCTCCTAGGTCAAGGAGGCGATACAATAAAAAGAAATAAATGGAGAAAAATAAATAAGAACAAAAGAATAAAAGAGAAAAGAGAAATGAGGGAGAGATAAGAGATGTAAGCGGGAGCAGCATGACAATGCTATCCAGCCAGCTGGTTTGGAAGGTTGAGTGGACATACCTGAGCTATGATGAGTTTGCTCTTTCCATAGCAACTGCTAATTTTACAGGTTCATGCACTGTCAGGCACCGCGCATAATGATGTGAAAGTGGATATTTGCATCTGCCGGCCAA